TATATATATATATAGCTTCAATTAAGGGATCCCTCAAATTATTTGAGGGATACCCTTATAGGGCCCACTTCGTATTGTATTTCAATAATCCAAACTGTCTATTTTGTAGATAGGCTAAATTATTGAAATGCCCCATGTAACTCAATTTCAGTCTCACTTCCCCTCCTGAAACTCTAAGTGTCTCACTTTCCCCCTTGAAACTTCATATATTGTCTCACTTTGACTAGATTTCATCCAGCCCTAACAGAAGTCGTCAAATCTTAACTCGCCAAAAAGTCCCCATCACTGTTTCCCCAATTTTTGATGATGGGTCATTAATAATTTTCGGAATTGACAGGTTCTTGGAATGCGCTGAGGTCGAAAGGGTGCTTCGTTATGGCTTTGCTTCTTGAAATTGCAATTTCATGGGTTTTTCTTCAAGTACCAGACCATGATGACTGTTTTTGCTCCATTTGACCAAGTCTTGATGAACCGAGTTGGGAACTTGAGTGAGCAATCCTCCATCTTTCATCGCCATGTGGTGCCCTGCGGGCTTTTGTGGAGCAATTTGGTGAGTTTCAATGATGGGACGGTGTTGAGGACTAATCTGATGGGGTTTACAAACAATATCACTCGATCCCAAGACGTGTTGATGCTCAATGGTGTGTTGGTCATTTTTCCGGATGGAATTTAGGCAAAGTGAGAAAATATATGGAGTTTTAGGGGGGAAAGTGAGACTAAACTTGAGTTTCAGGGGGCATTTCAATAATTTAGCCTTGTAGATATTCTTTCAAAGACCATCTATACGAAACGGTTTTCGATTTTGTCTAATTTTTTGCAAGGATGATCTATGAATGTAGACTTAAAAAATAGATGGTTATGATTGTTGAAAAAAAAATTATAGGAGACCCTAAAGGGTGTCCCTCAAATAAATTTGAGGGATCCCTCAATAGAAGGGGACTATATATATAGAGCTTTCATTAAAGGATCCCTTATTTGAGGGACACTCTTGTAGGGCTTACTCTGCATTGTATTTTACTAATTCAAACCGTCTATTTTGTAGATATTCATTCAAAAATCATCTCTACAAAAAAAAAAAAAATTCACTTGAATCCGATATCATTTGACTATTCAATTAAATTATTGAAATTTTAGTACTTTCTTTAAGCATTGTGTTTATTGATTTTGTAGGACATAATTAGATGTCTAAAAGGTTTCCGATTTGTCTATTTTTTTTTTTATTTTTTTTTTTGCAAGAATGATCTATGAATGCACACCTAAAATATAGATGGTTTGGATTGTTGAAAAAAAATTCGTACGGTACCCTAAATGGCATCCCCCTCAAGTAAAATTATTTGAGAGATTCCTCAATAAAAAAAAAACCGTATATATAATTTATATATCACATATATGATATACATAGGTGTTTGGCATGAATAATACGAGATTAGGTCTGCTTTTATAGAAACTATAGATCTATGATTCTATATATCATCCAACTCTCAACAGATCATAATTAGCCTACTAGAATGTGATACCCACTTCTATAATTAAGCTTAATGTCCAACCCATTTCTAACTGATATACTGTACTTCCATGACCCCAGAGCATGCCCAACTTCTTTTCACGGGTGTTAAAAAATAATGATGCTAATAAAGGTGACGTGTCAAATTATATGCTGCAAACCTACCAATCAAGTAAGCAACCAAGCGAAAGTGATGACCTACAATCGGCCTCATGCTTAAGGGGGTCATTAATGTAATCCTTAATTACAATAGAGAGTAGTATAGGCTTTAGGATAGTTAATTAAGCGTGTTTATTATTCGTTGATGTTAGGTTAGGGTTAATTAGGTTACCTCCTCTCTATAGAAGTCCTTTAAAATATATATATATATATATATGCGATATTCTACTTTAATCTAATCTAAACGATAGGAAGATGAATTCGAACTCGGATTCAAAGTGGGGAGCACATCTATTTTAACCAACTTGGCTAAGCCCATATATGCTCCTATAGAAGTCCTTAAACAAACTTCCCTAAATGATGCATAAAACTGCTTACCATACCAATGCAAGTTGCATCATCGGTGTCCGTACATCTTCATGTATTTATAATATTTGCTTAACATAAAATATGATATGTGTGTGTATAGAGTAGTTTTCTCCTTTGAATTGACGAGTTCCTAAAATTCTAGATAAGTCATTTTCTACCATATCTGGCGAATGCTGTATTATTTAGAGGTTATATATCAACATCAATGAACAAATTGGATTCAAACGTTCTCATTTTTTTCTTTGTAGTCCCTTTACACATCTCCACTGCACGTGAGTTCCATTTTATTTACTTATTTATTTATTATTTTCTATAATTAAAAAAAATAAAGATTATGCACAAATTTTATTTGAAGCTTGCTTTCTTCTTAATTTCTGTATTTTTTTTTCTTCAAATAACTGAGTTAATTGTTGCACCTAGCCTGATTAAGATGATGTATATATATATATACCACGTAAGTACCTACTTAGTTTTCAAATTGAATACAAGGGCAAATTAAGCAAAGACGTAATGTTATATCATCTGGTCAACAAATTACATCTATATATATTCTTATGGCATTATCAACGGACGTCATGGCCTACGCATCAAATGATGCTATCCGATGTTTAATTACTTGACCCTAACCATAATATCTAGGCTGCTAATTAAGCTAACCATTCTTGTAAATTAATTGGTGCTTCCTTAATTTTGATTACTTTTTTCTAATCAAAGTCATGAACCATATATTTGAAGTTAAATCCTGCAAGTAGCACGCGTACTTCGGAGGTTAATTTCATTTTAATTAATCTTGAAGTTAAACTAGGGTGACATGAATTGCATG